GAAAGCGCTCAACACGTACTATATGCCTAGAGTCTCCAGAGTTCTATGTTTAGGATTTAGGGTTTCGGGGCTAAGGGGCTTAAGGGTTTCGGGTTTAGGGGCTTCAGATTTTAGGGTTTCGGGGTTTAGTTAGAGTTTACAGTTTAGGGTGTTTGGGCCTTGGGTGTCAACTTTTGGGGCTTCCCGGCTGCGGGGTTTTCGGGTGTGGGGCTTCAGGTTTTGGGCTAAGCGTTTCGGTTTTCGGTCAAAACGAGTATTCCTTACGCTAGAGAAGCATCCTAGTATGAGGTAAGGATATATTACCCAGCTACTGCATCTTGGGATCCTTGGGAAACATCGGACCAGGATAATGGGGATTCCGGACCTTCAAATAGGTGTAGTCGTTGTTAGAGCCGGTCGTGAACACACAACCACAGCAGCAACACCACGGCCTCCAACCCCAAACGTGAAACCCAAGCCCTACGAAACCCATGACAATCCCTTGTGTCAAGCCGTTACAAACCCTTCCAAGCCCTTGCAATAGATCCCCTTCTAAAGCCCTTCTCAAATCTCTTGTAAAACCACAACACCGTTCATGCGGCTCTGAACAAACCCCTCTACAACCCTCGTACAGAAGTACCGAAAACCCATGGGCTTTGTAGTCTTATGGTACCCCGTATGATGATTGGTATGTACAAAGCCCTAAACCCTAAAATGTTAATATAGGGGCCTTAATGATTTTGAGAACATTGTACTATACTTATAGTCAAGAACCCCCGAAAAATAGTATAGCTAATCTCGAAGCCCCGCTACACATTAAACCCTTCATCGGATCACCCGAAGAGCTCGAACCCTAAACCCTGAACCATTATGGTGCCACCCTAAACCCTGAACCCTAAACCCCGAACCTATAGTATCCCTCATAATGCCAGAGGCACTTCTCGAGCTCCTCGATCTCGCGGCGCGCCTTCGCAGCATGGTTGAGGGCTTCGGCACCCATCTGATCGGGAAAAGCCCAAGGGCCTCCTCAAGGTTTACGGTTTATGGTTTAGGGTGTATGGTTTAGGGTTTAGGGTTTAGGGTTTAGGGTAGGGTTTAGGGTTTAGGGTTAGGGTTTGGGGTTTGGGGTTTAGGGTTTGGGGTTTAGGGTTTAGGGTTTAAGCGGCTTTGAGTGCAATGTAGAGGAATCCTTTTTCGGGTTTAGGGTTAAGGGTGCGGTATACTCTTTTCGAGCTCCGGGCTAGTGCCTGAACTGGGGGAGTACTAGTCTTTCCGGGAGGCTCTAAGCCCTCACTACTGAAACAACTTGTTACCTTTGTAATCCTTTGCCCCAGGTTCGGGAAAACCGAAATCCTCCGAAGCCAAGCCCCCCTAGTGAGTGAGTGAGTCGGTGAGTCGGTGAATGACTGAGTCCGTGCAGGCACCAGCGAGCGCACGCGCATGCGATGTTGCATGTTGTGCAATAGCATGCAGGCGGGCGGGGGGGGCAGGCGGGCGGGCGGGCGCACGCAAGGGTGCGTGCGTAGGTGGGTGAGTGGGTGGTGAATGAGTGAGTGAGTGACTGGGTGTCGATCGCGTGCCACGGCAGCAAAGGGTCCCTCTGGCCTTCCTTGCCCCTCCGCATACATGGTGCAAAGTTCAACTCAACGCTCTGGGCCCTTAATCCAGTAAAAGTAAAAGTAATAGTAATAGTAATAGTAATAGTGATAGTAATAGTGATAGTAAGAGCAATAGTAATAGTAATAGTAATAGTATTAGTAATAGTATTAGTATTAGTATTAGTATTCCGATAGTCGCAGGAAGAAAAGCTCTTCCCCCCTCACCTGACCTTTGCTCAGACGCGGAGCATGGGAAAAGTGGCCGTCGAACACACACGCACGCAAAGCACCGGCAGCGAAACTTAGCACAAAGGCAGTTTACAGTACTTGGAGGGTCGGGGGACTTAGTAAGTAGGTAGTAAGTAGACTTATAAGTACCCTAAAAGGGACCCTAACTGGGGTTATGGTACTTATAAGTCCCTAAAAAAACCAGTTACTAACTCCCCCAACCCTCTAAGTAGGGTTTACTCGGAGGATCATGGGACCTAGAAAGTAAGGTTATAAGTACCTTAGTTGAGGTTTTAAGTAGCTATAAGTATAGTTACCCTAATCATAACCCTAGTTACTAAGTCCCATGATCCTTCAAGTAGGGAGCTACGGTTGATGATATAAACCCTGCATACCCATAATAAGGAATATACCATAAATCCCATACTTGAGGGTCCTTAAGGTAATGCAGGACTTATATCATCAACAGTAGTAGCCTGGATTTATATCCCTAAACCCTAAACCCTGAAGCCCCTATAGATCCCTTAAAGGATCACCTTGAAGGTACCCTAACGATCCCTTTAGAGAAATCCTAGGATTTATATCATCAACCTAAACCCTAAACCCTAAACCCCAAACCCTAAACCCTAAACCCTAAACCCCAAACCCTAAACCCTAAACCCTGAACCCTGAACCCTAAACCCTGAACCCTAAACCCTGAACCCTAAACCCTAAACCCTGAACCCTAAACCGTGTATTGCCTTTCTGGCCGCAAGTACTTGAAGGGCTCGGCTCTTTGAGGCATAAAAACAGAGTCCGAATTTCCCCAAAACCATCCTGCCCTACCGTTGATGATATAAACCCTAGGATTCCTTTAAAGGGATCTGTAAGGGTACCTTTAAGGGGCTCCTTAAGGGATCTATAGGGGGGTTTAGGGTTTAGGGTTGATGATATAGATCCTGCATTACCTTAAGGACCCTAAACTATGGGATTTATGGTATATCCCTTATTATGGGTAATGCAGGATTAATATCATGGACCGTAGCCCTGAAACCTCGTCTACCTCTAGAGGCTTCTTACCCTGTAAACCTACATGCACACAACCTCACACCCTGGGCTTTGAAGTAACCAAGGAGAAAAACAAGTATAGACTGGAAAAATCATAATGGTTCCCTTTAAGTAGCAGGTCCCAAAAAAAATATTCACGTACTGTACCCCAAAGCCCAGAACCCTTAACCCTGGACCCTACACCCTCAACCTCACATGCACCCAACCCTCAATCCCGAACTTAAACCCAAACCCCCTACCCTAAACGCTCTCTAAACCCTAAACCCCCACAACCCTAAACAACCGCAACCCTAAACCCCCGCATCCCTAAAGGCTCTCCACCCTAAACCCCTAAAGCCCGTAAATACCCCTACAAGGAACTCCAGAAAGTTGGAATATGGTTTCATGGTAGGATACCCTATAATTTACCATAGAAGGGTTAGGATAATCATATTCCAACTTTCTGGCTTTTACCTTAAGGACCCTTGAGGCCCTCAACAGGGAGCCTTCTTGTAGCGCTGATCGGCCCGGGACGCCTCGGCCAAGTCCTGATCCTCAGCCCGACCCCCGGCTCTGGGTTTCGGGTTTTCTGATTTTTAGGGATCTTTTTGTTTTTTGGACCTAGGCTTTTTGGGTTTCGGGCTTTAGGATTTGGGGGTTTAGGGTTTAAGGTGTTTGGAGCTTATGGTTTAGGGTTTGGGAGGAGGACGCTGTGGACGCTTGTTTGTTCCACACGGGATCACAACATCAAACAGTCGAAAACATAAAATGAGCAACACCCATCCAAGATCCAGAACCAGCCATCATCACCCCCTTCCAAAACCCACCTTCATGTAGTTTCCTATCCGTATATTACCTTGGATAGAAGCCATATGAAACAGCGTGAATTACGATGTATTCTCGGTAGATTCTATCTTATGGCCTGCTTGCTCCTCATGAAGCTTCTCATGAACCAATGTTAAGCTTACCCAAAAACCTCTGTCCAGGATCCGGCCGGGCTTTACATAATAAAACCTATGAGGCACCAGGCGTGGCATTGTGGTACTTCTCGCATGTACATACAAAGTGGGGTATAGTGAGCATAAGATGTAATATGGTATGGTGCCCGTATACTAGAGCGTAAGATATAATATGGCATGGTGCCCTGTAATATGGGACAAAAGCGTATAGTGCAGTATTGCGACGTATAGTCTAGTTCATCATATACGTGTACTATAGTACGATACACAACAACCGATCCCCCCTGTTTTAGCACGTGGAGGGGCCCAAAATGTAATCTACATTTTCCGCCCTGGCTGTAGGGGCCGATGCTAATTGTAGGATTTCGGGTTCCTGGGCTACACACGACAAAACGCAAACGAAAGCATGGGAAAGATTCGGTGGCTTTGGGAGCAGGCCTGTGGTGGCTATCGTAGGTAAGTGATCGCGAAAGAAGCCCTCTTGCACACTCAGAACGATCGCACTGCCTTTTTTTCTCTCCTCCCCCTGGGTCATGCTGATTCCTCTTGCTCGCGGGCTGCCAAGCCTTTAGGAACACTGCGGTTGTGCCGAACAGTCAGTGTAGGTTAAACATCGGCATCGGTGAGTAAGCCTACTACGCTTGCAGTGGCAGCATCGGAGCAGCTAGACCGTACAAAGAGATTCAGGCGCTGCAGAGCCTTGTCCCCTTCGGGGAGGAGTCCGAGGAGAATCCAAAGGACACATTTTCCGTACTCGGCAGGAGTTTTGCCTGACAGCTTGACGTCGAGCATGTCCTGGGCGCGGATGCACACTTCCTTCCAGGGCATCGGGCGCTTGGGGATGCGGAAGTTCCCCTGACTATCTAAAATGGGAGTAGCTTTCTTCTCCCAAATGGAAGGCAAATTGCCCAAAAACAATGGGATGTGCTTCACCCCCGCTGACGGTGTCAGCTGCTTCGCCGTCAACCCTGGCAGCTTGTTCGCGAGGTCGGCAGCAGGAGCCTCGTCGTGAGGGGCTGAGCTGAGAACCGTGCACGGGAAAGGCCGCATGAGAAAGTGCATCAGGAAAGCATGCCGACTAAATCCGAGTAACCTGTTCTTGAGCAGCCAGGACCTCCTTCCAGGGAGCCTTTTGGATGAACGCAGCCATCGCATCCAATGCCTGCACATGGGGCATCGGTCAGGGTACTGCTTTAAGTGACCAGGGATGCTACCGATCACCGATGGCAAGGGCCTGCTGCGTAAGCTTGATCGTCAGCCGGCTCTCGGTGTGCACAGTCTGGTAAGCCTTGACCTCTGCCAATACGTTATTGGTGTCCAGCATGATGACTGGATTCAGGGCCGTGGCCAGCCAAACACCTGTAGAAGCTTCAACCATCTCCACTGCCCGCACAGCTTTGCATAGTCCGGCTGGCAACGGCGATGCACTCGGCCTTGCTACTCGAAGACGTCTTGGCGCGTTGATTCCTCCAAGCACGGCGCCGCGGAAGGTTGTCAGCGGATAGCACAATCCGACTGAGCCATCGCAACGGTGGAACAGCAGGATCTGGTCGTCACTTGCTCCGAAATGAGTGACGCGCTGCAGCTGGCCGTCCCAGCTTTTCGCACTGGGCGTACCGTGCATCAGAGCTTGCTGCTGGGTCCACGCCGCTATGCGGCCCATCCTTTCACCGCTCTGGGTGAGCATGGACGCTTGGCGCGCCAGCGCGAGTTCGTGTTCTACGGCATCCCACCCGTTGAGCGGCTTTGCAGCAGCCCCTTGAATCTGCGCCGCGGACAGAAAACGCTCTTTCATTTGTACTGCCCTTGCGAATCGGAACATCGGCTCGCGGCTGGCCTCAGCCCGCTGTAACAGCAATGACAGGCTGTTTTCTGAGGTTGGGGTCTGCTGAAAAGCAGGTAACTGACGCAAGTGCTCCACCAGGCGGTGGACATCGAGATCAGCATCTCGCTGGCGCTCGGCTTGCTGGGATGCACTGAAATCCGACGGTGAGTCACTCGTAGTGATGCGCGGTTGGATGGCCTCGTCCTTCACTGGCACAGCTGCTTCCCGCGGCTGGATGGCCTCCTCCTTTTGCGGCACTGCTGCCTCCGGAACGGCCGTCTCCAAGGACTCAAGCACAAGCTCTAGCTCCTTGCGCACACGCAGATGGTCATCGCAGTTCTGGAGCGCCTGCTCCGCGTCCAGATCCAACTGGTCACCAGCCGGATCCTCGATGGCCTCCTCCGAGTAACAGCCAACCAGTTCTTCGACGTCATCATCTGCAGAGCCATCCATCCAGCCCTCCTGGATTCTGTTGCTCGTCACGAACGAGCAGCCTTCGACTTGGAACCAGTGAAGGAGGTCAGAGTGCAGCGACGATGCTGTGCGAGCTTTGCTCCAAGAGCTCTGCAAGAAACATGCATCAGATAAGGCCTGTTGGGACAGTTCGGTGGCCTCTTGCTCATCAATGGCATACGCAGTCGCAAACTCGGGTGGCTTGAAGTTCTGGCTGTCCCGCAAGCTCTTGAGATGCTCCAGCTGCGTGGAGTAGATGGCGTTGGCCAGAGACGGGTTGCCACGCCAGCAGGCCCGCAGAGGAGAGCAGTCACGTTTTAGTCTCTACGAAACCCACTAGCCGAATCGTCGATTTTTCCTGAAAAATCGACGATTCAGCTTGTGGGTTTCCACATGTGTACCGGCTGAATCGTGGATTTTTCCCGATAAATCCACGCTTCGGCCGGTGGATTCAGCTGGATTATCTTAGGTCACCCCGATGTGGCGACACCCAGCGCCGGTCCCCGGCGCTGGGTGTCGCGTGCCGCTCCTGCCGCGATCGAAGGTGCCAGGGAGTGGATGGATCGCAGTTGAACCTGGCAGCCAGGGCAGCGTGTGCTGCCATGTGCAGCAAGTTTCGGACCGTCTGCGGAAGAAGAGCTTTCTCACGCCAGTCGGCTCCCCAAATGCGTTTGGCTTCGGAGACGTGAAGCAAAAGCAGATAAAAGCCTGTCATGGCGTTCGTGAAAGTGGCCCGTGGGCTTTGCCCACAGTTCCAAATGGACGAGAGGAGCTCTCCAAGGAAGATATAGATGCGGACACCCTGATTTTCCCAGCTACTGTTCAAATATGCTGTGCTCATGCGTTGAAATGAGGCTTCGTCGGATTGGCCGTCCCTGTTGGTGAAAGCTGCGATTGCCAGGCCGTTCTTGCGGAGGCAGCGTAGATCAGTCGCGAAAATTCCGTGGTGAACGGTCCTGGAGGCACTGTTGTGGTGCAAGGTGTATGCTTTCAATGCGGTGAAAGCTGTCGTGGCAACCACTCACGCACAGTTTGTTCTTGGTTCTCAGACATCCCATGGGAAACATGCTGACGCCCTTCATGCGCACAATGCCACAATCGCGAAACCATGGCCACGCCTGCATGTCTTCAACTGTGACCAGGCCCAGGAAGCAAGCGTTCAAGAGCTAGTTCGAGCTTCCGCCGTCCCACGCCACGCTGACTGGCGTTGTCTTCTGGCCAGTCTTCTCGAAGTGTTCCATCAGCTGTCCCAGGAGCTGCACAAATAGCTCTGACTTGCTGCCGGCGGCTTCCTTACCGGGGAGTGGAACCAGGTTGAGCTCATAGGTATGCTTGTTGCAATCGCATCTCGTGGCCACAAAGCTGACGCTCATCCTGGACAGGTCTGCGTCGGCCCGCGGGTCGTTGCGCTGCAACAGAGCCTTGTTGCTCGTCTGCGTCCAACCACCCCCAACGATGGCCACATCCTTCCCACCGAAATGGCTGATGGCACTAAAGGTGGGTCGCCAATAGGTTTCGTCGATCGCTATGTGCAGGCGCCTGTCGGCCCCCGCCAGGAGGCGTTGCACAGTGGCGCACGATCTCTCCTGCACCTGGGGCTGCGTGTGACTGATGTAAAACTCCGGCAGCATGGGGTTGCAAAAATCCATCCGGACACGGCGGGATCCTGCAATCACGTGTCCATACACTGCGAAGACAGATGCGGAGAAGACGTGCAACGCTTCATGAAAACCACACATCCTATGAACTCAGACACAGGTCCTCGGGTGGTCACATGAAACATGGAAAGGACAGCAGCCTCGCTCTGGCCAAGGTTGCTGGCGAGTTCTATCCGGACATCATCCGGGAGACTCTTGTTGTGCCGAAGCGGGGCGGCGCCCGAACTGATTCGCCTTTCAGCCTGCACGAACGTGTGTAGCAAGGCGTTGACTGCGATATGAGGTCGCATCTTCCCCGCTGCAATGTATGCTGCGAGCTCCAGATCCTCGTTGTTGCAGCAGAGCTTCTTGTCGAAACCTTCGCATAGAGCTTCGTACGCCAACTGCTCCTCAGGCTCGCAGCGCAGAAGCTCCAGATCGGCCACATTCAACCTGATGAACTGCCTTAGCTCCGGCGTAAGGTTCCCGCTGTTCAGGCACAGCCACCATCTTCTGCAGAGCTCGTGCAAGGCACAGCGCCCCATGCCGTCGTAGACCTGAAGGCACGTCTCCACCTCTCGGCGACACTTGTTGCTGTATGCAGCATAATCGCTGACCAGCATGCTCTCAAGCTTGTTTTTCAAGCTCTTGGGCTTGTAGACGCACAGGTAGATCAGATTGGAGCCGTCCAGGCGACGCGCCCATGCTGCAATGGCTTCCAGCATGCGCTTGTCTCGACTCATTTTCTTGCATTCCCGGCAAAGTCCACCCTCGCACAGGCCTCCGTCACAGTCCTTGTGTCTCATGATGTTGGTGCCCGCTTGCACGCAGACACGGACCTGGCTCAATGCTCCGGCAGCCTCGCTTTCATTCCGCAGTGCCATCATCCCGTGGCTGATCCAAGTCTGGACGGAGTCCTGCACGTGAGCAGTGTCATGGAAAAGCCATGCTAAACATCACGATTCCACTCTGAGATTGTTACTGAATCTAGTTATGCTATACTTCGGCGCTGGGTGTCGCGTGGGCAAGCCTGTCCTGTAAGGGACACGCCGCTGTCTTGACGTCAATGCCCGCGCATGGAACAAGAGCCGTCATTGTTGGCGTCCCAGCACCCAGCCTCTGAAGGCCACGTTTGTGTTTCGCGGAGCTCTCGTGTCCGAGAACATGGTACTTGGCTGATAAGGTCTCCCGATAGAAAGAGCATTCTGCATCACAGCTGCGGCAGAAATATCGTGCCCCACTGATGTGACGGTACACCGCTGAGCGCTCCTGCTGCATCCAACTTATCAAGCGTGGCACTTCGGAGCCGCCGGTTGGGCCCCCGTTTGGCTGGTACCAATGAGACAGGAGTGGCTTTCTCTCGCAGCTGGCGGCATACCGGACAGCGGAGCACACCGTCCCGGGCCAGAGCCGACAGAAAAGCCTTCCAATGACCTTCTTTGTTAGTTGCCCGCGCTTGCGCGTGGGCCTTCTGGAAAACAACAGCAGCATCCACACCCAGTCTAGCAGCAAGATCCAGGCCTTTCTTGTATGTCGGATCGACTCGCTTCTTTTTTTTGGCTCTTTCTGCACGCCCTCCGCCTCGTTCGCTTCCGGAGCTGAGTCCGCGGCAGTCGGGACCAGAGGGCCGAAATGATCCCGTCGCTTCTTGAGTGCAGGGTTGACATCTGCTTCGGACTCCTCCTCCGCCGGCGCTTTCGAATCCTGCAGCGGCACGTTAGACCCGGAGGCAGCTGCACCGCTGGAAGCCAGGCGAGGCTTCTTGCTCAGTGGAGGTTCATCCTCCTCGTCAGAAATTTCAGGGTCATCCTGGCCCTCGCAAAAATCGCGGATGGCCTCCAGGGTGAACTCGTCTGCCGGCATGGCAGGGGGCCACACACCGTCAGTGAAGCTGCGGAGAAAGTACTGGAAGGCTTTCACCAGTCGATGGCCACAAGACCAACCATCTTCCTGCCGCGGAAAGTCACCTCGCACAGCTGCAGCAGCACATTTCTGGCGCTCGTTCACGTGCGACATTACTGCTTCAGCCAGCTCCCACGTCTTCTTGCAGCCGACACCATCGTAAAGGTAGGCTGCAGCTGCGCCCATACGAATGCACAAGAGACTCCAATGCGTCTCTGTGCACAGAACAACACCCATGCCCTGTGCCTTGGACTGCAGCTTCATGACATCCAACAAGTCCAGGGCGGACGAGCTGGCGATAATGACCTTGTTCGGCCAGGTGTCGCCGAAGTTGTCCTGGGCGAGCCACACGCAGGTAGTGGAGCAGAGAGCCCCACATGAGGCTCTGTTTGGCCAATCAGCACTTTCTCTAATCATGGGGCCGGGCTGCAGCGACACATCAGTGGCTCCGGGTCCAACTGCTGGTGGCTCCGGTTGAGCAGTATCTGAAGGCCACTGCCCTGCCAGCTTCCAAGGTGTGCAGACAGACTGGTGTCAACACCACTTGGGGACGCGCATGCCATTGGCTCGAGCAGTAGCAGCTGAGGCACTCCTCCCAGGCCATCCGAAGCTGATCTGAGCCCCTCACCGAAACTCAACAACTTAGGGGAACAAGGCCACACTATGCTCAGGAACCCCTCTGCTCATATGGCTTTTCTCCAAGTGTTTATGCTGGACAGGTACCACGATCAATCCCCTAGACAGGACAGGCCTCGTTTTTGGGCAACCGCTGGGGAGACACTACGGCCCACCAAGCACAGGTAGGAGGGAGCTTTTCGCATGCCGCTGACCAAGGTCAAAGCAAGCGGCGACGGCCGAGGAAAGGGAAAGGCCGGGCCTCCGTCAGGAGGGACTAACAAATGGTTCCTGGGTGTGGGACAATCCGTGGGCACCAAGTCACGTGGAAACGGCCACACTCATGGTGAACCGTGTACTACTCCAGCGGCGCCTGGTTGTCTCACCCGCCTTGGCTCCGCGGGCAGACAATGCCTCCCTGAGTGTGTGTGTCTGTGTGTGTGTTGTGTGTTGTGTTGTGTGTGTGTGTGTGTGTGTGTGTGTGTGTGTGTGTGTTGTGTGTGTGTTGTGTGTGTGTGTGTGTGTGTGTGTGTGTGTGTGTGTGTGTGTGCGTGTGTGTGTGTGTGTGTGTGTGTGTGTGTGTGTCGTGTTGTGTGTGTGTGTGTGTGTGTGTGTGTGTTGTGTTGTGGGTGTTGTGTTGTGTGTGTGTGTGTGTGGAAGTGGGTGTGTGTGTGTGTGGTGTGTGTGTGTGTGTGTGTGTGTGTGTGTGTGTGTGTGTGTTGTGTGTGTGTGTGTGTGTGTGTGTGTGTGTAGTGTGTGGTGTGGGTGTGTGTCGTGTGTGTGTCGTGTGTGTGTGTGTTATGTGTGTGTGTGTGTGTGTGTGTGTGTGTGTGTGTGTGTGTGTGTGTGTGGTGGTGTGTGTGGGGGGTGTGTGTGGTGTGTGTGCGGGTGGTGGTGTGGGGTGGTGTGGTGTTGTGTGGTGTTGTGTGTGGGTGTGTACCTTGTGTGTGGTGTGGTGGTGTGTGTGGTCGTGGTGTGTGTGTGTGTGTGTGTGGTGTGTGTGTGTGTGTGTGTGTGCTGTGTGTGTGTGTGTGTGTGGTGTGTGTGTGTGTGTGTGTGTGGTGTGTGTGTGTGTGTGTTGTGTGTGTGTGTGTGTGTGTGTGTGGTGTGTGTGTGTGTGTGTGTGTGTGTGTGTGTGTGTGTGTGTGTGTGTGTGTGTGTGTGTGTGTGTGTGTGTGTGTGGTGTGTGTGTGTGGTGTGGTGTGTGTGTGTGTGTGGGTGTGTGTGTGTGTGTGGTGTGTGTGTGTGTGTGTGTGTGTGTGTGTGTGTGTGTGTGTGTGTGTGTGTCTGTGCCAGCCTGTGGCCACAGACCTCGCATCCTCGAACAGAGACAATGAGCAGGACTTGGCTGCAACACAGGACGGAGCATAAGAGTCGATGCCTCCCCAGGCATTGTGTCGTCCATGCATCTCGCTGCTGCCTGGCGGCAGGTAGGTTCCGGCCTCGAGAGCACAGGAACAGCAGCATGCACCTGCCTTGTCGTCGGTGGCTCCCCCAACCTGCTCCTGTCTCGCACACGTGCGCTGGCCAAGAGCGGACACAGACACTCCGATGCCTCACCTGGCAGGTCGGCTTCGGCATCTCTCGGTCGCTTGGCGTGCCTGTGTCTGTGCCAGCCTTCTCGGCCACAGACCTCGCATCCTCGAACAGAGACAATGAGCAGGACTTGGCTGCAACACAGGACGGAGCATAAGAGTCGATGCCTCCCCAGGCATTGTGTCGTCCATGCATCTCGCTCGCTTAGCCTGGCGGCAGGTAGGTTCCGGCCTCGAGAGCACAGGAACAGCAGCATGCACCTGCCTTGTCGTCGGTGGCTCAATCGTTGGCGTGCAGTGCATGGTGGCTCCCCCAACCTGCTCCTGTCTCGCACACGTCCGCTGGCCAAGAGCGGACACAGACACTCCGATGCCTCACCCGGCAGGTCGGCTTCGGCATCTCTCGGTCGCTTGGCGGCCTGCAATCGAAAAGGACTTGGCGTGCAACGCCGGCCAAGTCACGAGTGAATCGGAAACGAGGGGGCCGAGCACAAAAATCAAAGGGCTACATCATGTGCTGCCAAAACCTGCCGGCCGAATCGTCGATGTTTCCTGAAAATTCGACGATTCAGCTTACTAGCTTCACCCTGGGCCCTCGGTGGAATTGAGATTGGCTTAAACGGCCTGGTACAAGGCCTTCCCCTGGCACCGGCGGTTTTACGCTTGAAAACACAATAAATCCGGAGCCGGCCCTGTCACCGGCGCTTTTTTCGCTTCAAAACAAAATAAAACAGGAACCGGGCCTAGTGCGTGTTTCTTTTGCGTGACAAATAACCAAAACCAGAAGTTGAGGCCAGCGAAAGATACCCGACAGGTAGCTGAATCTGGCTTGTGGGTAAAGTCTCGATTCTGCACGGCTTACTTCGAATGCATATCGGGGTGGGGACACTGTTACAAGCAATTTTAAACACAAATTCAAAGCAAAATCAAGCAAACCATGGCTGGCCCTAGTGGACTTTGATAGTTTTTTCGGGTGCCATTCGCTTCCCCGCACAAGGGCACTGGACGACTGCGCCACGATGAGGCTGCCACCATTTGCAGCCGAAAAATAATCGTTCTTGAGGCTTCGCATAGCGCCTAGAGGTTTTGAACAAATGTTGGGTGCCATTTAGCTTCCCCTCGCAAGGGTACTGGACGACTGCGCCACGATGAGGCAGACACCCGTTGCAGCCGAAAAAATTCCGTCCCCGAGGCTTTCTTAGCAGCCTCGGGGGGCCCACCCCACTCGGGGGGATCCTGAATCAGATTGGATGCCAAGCAGGCGGCTGTCCTCGCCACAAGAATCCCTCCACATTCTTGATATGCACGGTCTCCACGGGAAGATAAAGTCCATCCTGGGCACTCAGGAATCCCTCCACATCCTTCTCATGCACGGTCTCCGCGGGAAGATAAAGTCCAGGCTGTCCTCGCCACCAGAATCCCTCCACATCCTTCTCATGCACGGTCTCCGCAGGAAGATAAAGTCCATCCTGGAATCCCTCCACATCCTTCTCATGCACGGTCTCCACGGGAAGATAAAGTCCATCCTGGGCACTCAAGAATCCCTCCACATCCTTCTCATGCACGGTCTCCACGGGAAGATAAAGTCCATCCTGGGCACTCAGGAATCCCTCCACATCCTTCTCAAGCACGGTCTCCGCGGGAAGATAAAGTCCAGGCTGTCCTCGCCACCAGAATCCCTCCACATCCTTCTCATGCACGGTCTCCGCAGGAAGATAAAGTCCATCCTGGAATCCCTCCACATCCTTCTCATGCACGGTCTCCACGGGAAGATAAAGTCCATCCTGGGCAATCAAGAATCCCTCCACATCCTTCTCATGCACGGTCTCCACGGGAAGATAAAGTCCATCCTGGGCACTCAAGAATCCCTCCACATCCTTCTCATGCACGGTCTCCGCGGGAAGATAAAGTCCAGGCTGTCCTCGCCACAAGAATCCCTCCACATCCTTCTCATGCACGGTCTCCGCAGGAAGATAAAGTCCAAGCTGTCCTCGCCACAAGAATCCCTTCACATCCAGAAGATAAAGTCCATCCTGGGCACCCTGAGTGCGCCAAAGAGGGCCGGCATTCTGATTCTGACCATTCTCCGCTTCCCGAGGCCTCAATCACTGCCTTGGCGGGACCTGCGTTCCTCGTTCCCTGAAAGATCACCCTCACACTATGGCTCTCGTTCCTCGTTCCCTGCAAGATCACCCTCACACTATGGCTCTCGTTCCTCGTTCCCTGCAAGATCACCCTCACACTATGGCTCTCGTTCCTCGTTCCCTGCAAGATCACCCTCACACTATGGCAATGGCTCTCGTTCCTCGTTCCCTGCAAGATCACCCTCACACTATGGCAATGGCTCTCGTTCCTCGTTCCCTGCAAGATCACCCTCACACTATGGCAATGGCTCTCGTTCCTCGTTCCCTGCAAGATCACCCGCACACTATATGGCAGCGGATGGCACAACATACAATCAACGGTCCACGGTCAGAGCAAGAATCCTGCAAAGACACGCACACCTTAGACACGGGCCAACATTTTTCACACAGCTGTCTGAATCTTGAAATGGTGCCTTGCTGCCGCCATGCCGGATGGAAAATGCGTTGCATGACAGTGTAAGTCAAAAACTCAACATGCCTGCCTGATGGCTGATGGCTCACCGCCTAAGGCGTGCCCATTGCTCTTTCAGAACCTTCGACCTCGACGAGCTTGCGAAAGTTGCCGTACTCGTCCATGGATTCCACCATATCTTCGACGCACTGAAACAGCACAGCTGATGCCTGTTCTTTGGGATTGCATCTTGAAACCCCTAGTCTTAAATCTCTACACAACAAATCTTACATCATGTCCTGACTCCTGACCACTCTTCGATTTCAACTCCAAACAACTGACCGGCCTGGCACACTTTCTTGTTCTCATCGCTTGCCATGCAAGCTGCTGCAGTCAAAACTTGTCTTAGTTGCACGGCACGGTCCTTCACCTTGCCATCGTCGAATCCATGCAGTACCAACATCTGCAACATGACGTTCATCAAGTGCCCCTCAGACAAGCGCCCCGTCTGGATGATGATCATGATCTCCGGACAGTAGCTGGAGGGATCGCTAAGCAGTGCAAGCAGGCTAGCAACTAGAACCCGTAACATGAACATGGCAGCGGATGGCACAACATACAATCAACGGTCAACCGGTCCACGATCAGAGTGAGTGGCACATTCTGTGGCCAAGAATCCTTCAAAGACACGCTGCACACCGTGGGAACATTTTTCACACAGCTGTCACTGAATCTTGAAATGGTGCCGTGGTGCCTTGCTGCTGCCGCCATGCCGAGTGGAAAATGCGTTGCATGACGTTGCAAGTGAAGAAATCAAAATGCCTGAATGGATGCCTCAACGCCTAAGGCGTGGCTGCACTCAGTTGATGTTGATGGCCTCTGAGGTGATGATGCATTCATCTTTGGTCTTCTTTGGCTTTGTGGCTTTCGCGGCGACGGGTGGATCCACTGCTTGCTCTGCTGAGCCGGCTGAGCCTGCTGACTTCTCTACGGCTTCAGGCCCTTGAGGCTTCGATGGTTCTGGCTTGCCCTTGTTGTGCTCACCCTCACCTGTTGCCAAACCGTCATTTGGCTTTGGGGACTTTGGGGCCTGGGGCTGGGGCTCCTCGCGCTTGGCTTGCTCGGCTTGGGCCGCTTGGGCCTCAGCGGTTCCGGGTGCCTCAGCTGAACCCTGGTGCTTGTTGGGATTCTCCGCCTGGGACTCGGCCTTGTCTTCATCGGCTTGGGTGCTTTGGGGTGCCTGGGCCGCCTCGGTCGGGATGGCAGTGCTGGCCGCCGGCTCGGTCGGGATGGTGATGGCAGGCGGCTGTCCTCGCCACAAGAATCCCTCCACATCTCTCTCGAGCACGGTCTCCGCGAAGACCCATCCGGATGGAAGATAAAGTCCATCCTGGGCACCCTGAGTGCCCTGCCTCAAATGGCAAGCTGTCTTTTCCAAGTCCTTTTTCGTAAGGTTCAAGAACCTCTGCCAAAGGGCCCCGGCATTCTGATTCTGACCGCCGTTCTCCGGCTCTTCCAGAGACAATGCCTCAATCACTGCCTTGGCGGGACCTGCGACGATGCACCTCGTTCCCTGCAAGATCACCCTCACACTGGCCAGTTCATCTGGCTCGGCGCCGGCGGTGACATTCCCGGCTTGCACACCAAAGTGATGGAGCTGGCATTCCTTTTCCTTGCCCTCAGCCACTTTCAAGATCTGCTCGCCCTGGCCCTGGAGGACCGTCTGGAGACACGAGAGGGCCTCGCCTGTCATCTTGGAACTTGCACGAGCCTTGGGCCTTTCAGCAGGAGGCTTGACCATGTTCTGTCTCTCCAACGTACTTACACGCTCTTTGAATGCAATGTGGAACTGCTTCATCGCGCTCTTCAGGCTGTCCTGAGCTAAACACAACACGTCGCCTCAGGATGTGCTGGACTGCTCTCATGATAAGTCTCATGGCATGCAAATTCGAGGCAAACAAGATGCATAGAAATGTGCAAACCAGGCACTTCCTGGGCAAGGGCGGTGGCAATCTCATCAGGGAGCCGGAACATGAAGGGCTGGTCCATGTTCGCTGAGCCCAGATCCTTCAAGTCTTTGATCTGGGCAATCTCGGCACAGACGTCCAAGCCGTGGTCAAACAAGACAAGTGGCTTGGACTTGCCGGACTTGCTGTCCTTCTCCTTGAAATTCTTCTTGGCGGACTTCATGCTGGCCACGCGCTGATCGTGGGCTGTGACGGCCTTCCGCAACTCTTTGATGCTTGCTTCGAGCGCGGATCGAAGCTCGGTGATCGGCTTGCGATCTGCTGCTCGTGCTTTCACAAGCTCCTGAAGCTGCTCCTTGCTCTGGCATTCCCAGAAGAGCTGTTCCTGCGTAGACTCTATCGAGTGCAGAGTCACGAGCTTCTCGTAGTTGTCGATGGGAGGAGCCATTTGCAACTGCCGTTCCCACCCTGTCGCCGTGGCCGCCCCGGCCCCGGCAGGCCCGGCACCATCCGCAGCCGCCGGAGCGCCTGCCCCGTCCCCTTCGGCATTGTCCTTGTCCTTGTTCTCCGGCTTCTTGCTTTTGTCTTCGGGCTTGTACTCGTCGATCAGCAGCTGAAGGTCCCCGGATTTTTCACCGAGCACCGACTGCATAAAGACCAGCCTTTTCTCCACTGAGTCTTTCTCAACCTTGCAATCCGGCTCCGCTCTCTTGCCGCGACTCTTCAGAAGTGCCAACACTTCGTGCGCCGAGTTGGCTTTCTCCTTCAATGCCACCGAGAGGTTGACCAAAATCGTTTTCTCTGCACGAATTTTGGCAGAGATCTGAGTGTCTCGATCCCATCTGCTTTTGCTGCCGCGACCGCGACCGCCACGGCCGCCCTTTCCTCTGCCTCTGGATTTGTTCCTCTGCTTTCCTTTCTCAGAATCACCCGAACCATCCTCCTCATCCGAAGGATCCTGCTCATCTGAGCCGCCTGAAGATCGTGCGGACCTTGCCCTTTTCTTCTCAGCGCTGGGCGGAGTCTTCGCCGTTGCAGCTTTCTTGGAACTGCCGGCTGCTTTCTCTTGGTCGTCCCCTGACTCAGAATCCTCGGCCTCTGACTCCTTGGACACTGCTTAGATTAGAGTCCTACACTTCCGCGACACTTCCGCGACACTTCCGCGACACTCCCGCGACACTCCCGTGACTGGCTGCTGACATCAACGCAACAATCGCACTCCACACGGCTCTGTGTCATGGCTGTCGTCTCAAGAACTTGGAACCTCAGACCTGAACAGCCTGGCCCTCTCAACTCAATCAGCTGAGCATCTAGGTCTTTCTGCAAGGCCTCGACATCCACATCCATGTTCCCTGGTGTGTAAATCGATCCGGCCTGGCCTGCTCTGAGCATCTCTCTGGCTGCACCCATTGCATCACCGATCAAGTTCCGGTGCTTTGTGAGATCCTTGAGCTGGGCTCCCTCGTCCTTGAATGTGGTTTCCCGGGCGTTCGTTGACTTCTCCTTGTCCAATATGTTCTTCAAGTGGACTTTGGAGGCGCTGATCACACCGATGCGCAGTGACCCGTTTTTGCCTCTTTTATCGTACAGCACATCTTCTGTTTCGGGGTTCTCGTTAATCAGTGCTTCGTACGCTTTCCATTGGGCAGATGCTTGCACCATGGTCATTCGACCCTGACCCTCGGTCAGTGTCTCCGTCACAAACTTAAGGTATGCATCCTCCGGCAGCATGTCATATACGTCATCGTACTCCACACGGCTTTTGGTCACGACCCGCTCAAGAACCTTGAAGACCTCCTTTCCTGACACCTGAACCGAAGCAGTGTCTATAAAGCAACATAGCGAGAAAGTCGCTTGCATCTTTCAGCGCAGACTAGATGCATCATGCATGGGATGCCCCTTCCAAGAGTCGCTTGAGGCTTGCTTCGGCTTGCTTCAAAGGGCATGAAGAAATGGCAAGGGCACTGCACACTTCAAACTTGAAACTAGCCTGGCCTTCTTGGTGCTGCCGGTACCGTCATCGCCTGTCAAGTCCTTGTACGTCTTGAGTGCTTTTGCCAGCTTGGCCTCGTCCTGCCTGACTTGGCTCCACCACTCAGACTTCCCCTGGGCCTTGCAGATTCGAGTGAGGTTGTCGACCTTGTACTTGCACTTTGTGCAATGGGAGGACTTGTTGGCCATGTTCTCAGGAGGGAAGAACAAAGTGCAGGCTTTGCATTTCCTTGTGTGCGTTTTGGTGGCCTTTCTTTGACCAGCAATCACCTTGGCTTTGGCTTTGGCCTTGGCCTTTGGGGCGGTTGACTTCCCGCTTCCTTGAGCGCTTCCTGCGGCGCTGCTGTTCCGGCTGGTCCTTCTCCGTTTCTTCTTCTGTGCAGAGCCCGAGCCACTGCAGCCGCTGCCTTCACTGGCAGACTCTTCGGCTTCGCACTTTGGACACATCCACATTTCGTCCGCTTCCAATTCCATCGCATTGTCCGCCTTGTCCGCCATCGCGCTGTGCCACGAGGTGCCACTGAAAAATCAAAAGATCGCTCGGTCCATAGCAGAAACGACAGGAACATGTGCTTCTGTCTGTGAGTGTCTGCGTCTCTGTGCAAACAACTCGGGAGCACAGAAAGCTGCAAGCTGCTTGTTTTCCCAGACTCACAGCAATCACATCGCTGGGTGCAGGTGCAACAGACCACGGCTGCCACGGCTGACTACATCAGTCATGAAAAGCTACCGTGCCTAAAGCAAACAACAACACCTGGCCGACAAAGGCCAGATGCATGCCGTTTCCCATGAGATCTAAAACCTGGGGCGGGCTACATCCTGCTTGCCTCAGAACTTGCTCGAAATCGCAGACTTCTAGTGCAGCATGCCCTGGTGAAAGAAGAACCGGGAATCCCTGCATGCCGCAAACTTCCAGAAAATGCACTGGCCGCATGTCTCGATCACGGTTCAACCCATCCATCAGCAAACGGGTGGATGTCAGCAGGGTTGAGACATGATGCTGTTGCAAAATCTTCAGGGGGGGTTGGAACCTGAATGACTGAGTGAGGTTCACCAGCCATTGCACACTACAGTCACAGCCGGAGCCTGGCTGTTGGTGGCATTGGCATCTATGCCCATCCAAAACCTCTGTACGTATCTCATCTACTAGCCGTCGATGAACACCAGAAAGGAGAGCTATCCAATTCCAGGAAGCCGCTTGCCCCCTGGAGTTCACCCGCTTCCTGGGCAGACCCCTCTGCTGTGCCGCATCTGCCTGCATCTGCTCGAGCTTGTCTTCAGGGCATCGCATGTAGACAATGCCAGCCAGCATCATCGAGGTTTTGCAGATGGACTCCCACAAGGATGAGCCAAGACCTGGCCCTGGAGAGAACGAGCATCGGTCCTTCCTAATGCAGAGAGTGTATCTACGCACACGCTCCACTGGATGCCCAATATCTCTGGGCGATCCCACGACTGTTGAGATTGCATAGACGTCCTGTTCTATGTTGAGAAAGTCAAGCAGCACCTCGGGATCGAAGTTCGGCACACACTCGTGTGCGATCACATCTGGCTTCATCTTGGACATGGCAACTGCCCACACCAAAAATGGAATGGACACATCATGCAACCAACCAAGTTGAGTGCCATGGGCAGAACT